CGTCTGCCCCCAATTCCGTTTAGAAATGAGATGATAAAAATTAACCTTTGCAAAATGTTGATACAAGAGAACAAGTAGAAATCCAACAAGCAAAACCCTAAGTATGTTGTTGATTTTATCTTATTTTCTCCCTCTTGATCTTGAGCTCGATCAAGTGAACCCGATACTTCCAATTTAATCTTCCGTCTCACACTACTCCTTTGTAAGTAGCCCCACTCTTCAAAGATTTCACTAGGCTGAATCCATATTCCAAACATATCATGACCCCAAAATTTACTAATTTGATCCTCTGTCTCACACTACTCCTTGGACCGAACCCACTGTTCTTCTAAGCTTTCACTTGGCTGAACTCAAATTGCGTAATATTACCCAAAACCTTCAAATCACCAATTGATCTTAAAGGAAAACTTCCCCTTGATTTTCTTATTTGAAACCCCCAAAGAATTCTCAATTCAATCGATTACAATGAACCTTAATTGGACATTATCAAGCTATCTCTAGATGGCACCCAAACAAAAAAGTAATTATATATAATTTATTCGTGTGTATGCATAGAGGGAGGATGAAGATGATGAACAATTGCTTTGTATATTTGTGGTTTCGTATTTTAGAAATGATACATGAATAAATATATATAGGTGTAATTGTGTGAATGAATGAAACAAAGAAAATAGGGTTGCAATATTACAAATTTGGACAATTTAATCAGTAGGAGTCGACCCATTTGAAGTGGGAGTCAATTCTTAAGGGTAAGGGAGTCGACCCATACAACCTGTAAGTCGACTCCAATTTGACAGAAGTGATTTTTGAAAATAAGCTTCAATACAAGTTGAAACATAATTTGGGAGTTGACTCCTTCGTGTTATGTATCGACTCCAAATGGCCATGGAGTCGGCCTATTTTTAACAGAAAGGTCCCTTTTAAAAAAGCTTCAGAGGGAGTCGACTCCAAACCTGCTTTTTCACCAAAATCATATTTTTAAAGTGTTTGACTTGGTTAATAGCTTTTGACATGACCCCCAAGTGTCCTAATATGAAAATGCAACCTAAACATAGATAGATAACATCCAATGTATAAATACTACACATCACCTAGTTTTGATATTATTCAAAACATCTAAGAGAAGGATATTCCACTTACACACCTCGTATGAAGGCTTGTCTTTATCACTTATATGATGAATATAATCATGAGTGAGATGTGTTTGAAAGCCTCTCCAACACTGACCATAATATGTAAGCAATTTCTTTTTCATGATATTATCCTCTAGACTAACAATAAACATTTTTTATGTTTACACAATAGAGATGTTATTAGTATATATTAAACAAAAAATAAATGATCATATATATTCAATGGATAAAACTCAAAATAAATACTGGAACATTCTCCCATATGATGTATTTTAAGTCGTAGTCAACTTCGTGCCAACTATCTAACAAAATACTCACTTTACTTCTACCTTGTAACACAATGTAACCCATAAAGTCCTCGGCATTTTCACCATAAGCCCTACCGACTTCTATATCAACTATAACCGGGTAGCGAACACCACTTTCGTAGGTTTTTTCACCTTGATATACATTGTGGCACCTCTAGCTTTTCTTTTACATTTTGTATTAATAGAGGTTGCACCCGATCTTGTATGGGAGGTGCTTGTCGAATCGGCCATGATTATCAAGAGACTAACCTGAATCAAACAACAATGTTTCAATAAAAACAAATAGAAAATCAAAATGATCAAGAAAAACTATTTAAGTGAATGAAAATGAAACAACAACCTAACGTAGAAACAAAATGATCAAGAGACAAACTAACATAGAAACACGTAGAAATAAAATGATCAAAAAATAAACTAACATAGAAACCCTAAACAAAATAATCAAGAGACATTTCAGTGAAAAACAAAGTGATATATAAATTGTTTTAGTAAAGAACAAACCTGTTGTAAAAATGAATATTTGTTGATGAAATAACGTTTGAGCATTGATAGATAAATGAAATCTTAGAAACTGAATAGTAGTCTGAAGTATTTCATGCAAAAGATGTGACACATCAATTTTAAATTAAAATCGACGTGAAAGTATTAATTAAAAATAAATAAAAATATAAAACACACAATAGAGCCATATTCCGAGAATTCATATATATATTACTACTACTACTATTACTAATATTGCTACTACTACTATTACTATTACTACTATTACTACTATTATTATTACTAATATTAATACTATTACTATTACAACTATTATTATTACTTATTACTATTACTATTGTTATTACTATTACTACTATTACTATTATAGTAATATTATTATTATTATTATTATTATTATTATTATTATTATTATTATTATTATTATTTTATTATTACTATTACTATTACTATTATTACTATTACTACTATTACTACTATTACTATTACTACTACTACTACTACTATTACTACTATTAGTAGTAGTAATAGTAGTAATAGTAATAATATTAGTAATAATAGTAGTAGTAGTAGTAATAATAGTAATAGCTGCAAATTGTGTTTTGAGGAGAAGGTTGGTGGTTTGTGTGGAAAATATTGCTGAGCAGCACTTATTTATATGGTGATATGAGATTGTGTTCATACTGCAATAATATTTTATGATGTCCAATCGATGTTTATATAAATATATACTCATCAAATAGTATAAAGTAAATATTATAATAATAATAATAATAGTAATAATAATAATAACAACAAAAATAGTAATAATAATAATAATAATAACAACAACAATAGTAATAGTAATAACAATAATAATAGTAAAAATGATAATAATAATAATAATAATAATAATAATAATAATAATAATAATAATAATAATAATAATAATAATAATAATAATAATAATAATAGTAAAAATAATATTAATAATAATAATAGTAGTAATAGTAATAATATTACTATAGTAGTAATAGTAGTAGTAGTAGTAGTAATAGTAATAAAAGTAATAAAAGTAATAGTAATAACAATAGTAATAGTAATAACAATAATAATATTATTACTACTATTACTATTACTATTACTATTACTATTACTATTACTATTATTACTATTACTACTATTATTATTACTTATTACTATTACTATTGTTATTACTATTACTATTATTACTACTACTATTATTATTACTATTACTATTATAGTAATATTATTACTATTACTCTTATTATTATTATTATTTTCTTTTTTTTTTTTACTATTATTATTATTATTATTATTTTTACTATTACTATTATTATTGTTATTACTATTATTATTATTATTATTATTATTATTACCATTTTTTAATTATTTATATTATTATTATTATATTTACTTTATACTACTCGATGAATATATATTTAATATAAACATCAATGGGACATCATAAAACATTATTGCATTATGAACACAATCTCATTTCTCCATATAAATAAGTGCTGCTCAGCAACATTTTCAACACAAACCACCAACCTTCTCCTCAAAACACAAATTGCAGCTATATCACACTATTAGTAATAGTGAAGATGGAGAGCATGAGTTAATAGATAGGTAAAATCTATAATCACCATATAAATAAGTTACTACTAAAAAAACATTTTCCACACCACCATCTTCTCCTCAAAATGCAACTTGAAACTATAGCACAGTAAAATCTATAATTATTATTACTATTACTACTATTAGTAGAAGTAATAGTAATAATAGTAGTAGTGATAATAGTAATAGCTGCAAATTGTGTTTTGAGGAGAAGGTTGATGGTTTGTGTGGAAAATATTGCTGAGCAGCACTTATTTATATGGTGATATGAGAATATATTCATAATGCAATAATGTTTAATGATGTCCAATCAATGTTTATGTAAATATATACTCATCAAATAGTATAAAGTAAATTTAATAATAATAATAAAAATAGTAGTAATAATAATAACAACAAAAATAATAATAATAATAGTAACAACAATAGTAATAGTAATAACAATAATAATAATAATAATAATAATAATAATAATAATAATAACAACAATAGTAATAGTAATAACAATAATAATAGTAAAAATAATAATAATAATAATAATAATTAAAAAAAAATAATAGTAAAAATAATTTTAATAATAATAGTAATAATAATAGTAGTAGTAATAGTAATAAAAGTAATAAAAGTAATAGAAATAACAATAATAATATTACTATTATTACTACTATTACTACTATAACTATTACTATTACTATTACTATTATTACTATTACTATTATTATTATTATTACTACTATTATTATTACTTATTACTATTACTATTGTTATTACTATTACTTTTATTACTACTACTGTTATTACTACTATTACTATTATAGCAATATTAATACTATTACTATTATTATCACTATTATTATTATTATTATTATTATTATTATTATTATTATTTTTACTATTATTATTATTATTACTATTATTATTTTTACTATTGTTATTACTATTATTATTATTATTACAATTTTTTTATTATATTATTAATATTATTATTATTATTATTATTATTATTATTATTATTATTATTATTATTATTATTATTATTATTATAATATTTACTTTATACTACTTATGAGTATATATTTAATATAAATATCGATGGGACATCATAAAACATTATTGCATTATGAACACAATCTCATATCTCCATATAAATAAGTGCTGCTCAACAACATTTTCCACACAAACCACCAACCTTCTCCTCAAAACACAAATTGCACCTTCTCCTCAAAACACAAATTGCAGGTATATCACACTATTAGTAATAGTGAAGATGGAGAGCATGAGTTAATAGATAGGTAAAATCTGTAATCACCATATAAATAAGTTGCTACTAAAAAACATTTTCCACACCACCATCTTCTCCTCAAAATGCAACTTGAAACTATAGCACAGTATTTAATATATAGTAAAGATGAAGAGCATAAGTAGTATATGACGGCATGAAACCAGAAGTGTTGATGGTGTTTGTACAATTTGCAAATGCGACTATGAATATAATATGCAAATTAATGATGGAATGAGCATGACAGTAGCCAATGCTTATCGCCTAATCTGTGCGTCCGCTTTCACTACCCCAATTGCTCTGTACTTTGATAAGTTCATATATAATTTACCTTCAACTTCTTTTTATCACTTGGTTCAAACATTTACTACTAATATATTTAGACTGCTGAACAAGCCTTTGAACAAAGTTCCATGTTGCCTCCGTACATTTATGACGATTTGTATACAACTATGCCTTATTTATCTACCATAGAATTCACACAACAACAGAGCTAGATATATGTCTACATTGAGTTGTGTTATCAACAATATGAAGAAAACATAACTTCCTACGGCGTGTGCACAAAAAGGAATTTGATTCCGATCTGCTCGGCGAAACTAAGGGAATCATAGTAAACATAGTTGCACACAACCCTTCCTACATTATCATATGTCATTACATCATAACTTTTATTTGCTAAAGCCTTGGTGATCTCCTTCACCGGAAGGATAGACTACATAAAGTTATGACAAAAGAGTAAGTTCTCAAGTGTATCAAAAAGTAAGAATTGAGTGGTTAGAAGTATAGTCCATAGCTCTTTTTTAAGAGTAAACATTACAATTTTTAACAAAAGAAAATATAAAGCATCAATCAATGTGTTGGCAGTTTACCTTGCAAAACAAAATAAAGCATCTTTCAACCGATATTTTAAAAGAACTGCAGCACCAGCATAAGACCAGATCGAACAATTGAATTCATCATGAGGCACATTGTCATAGAAGTCAATATCAATATCAATATCTGGTGTAGTTGTCGAACACTGAATGACTTCAGCTCTTTGGTGTAGCTTCCAAACACGAAATCACTTCACCTATTTGATTTGTAGTCTACTGATACTGCATAATTTGTTTAAAAGAATTGATCAGTACTGGTGAATATAGTATTGAAATAGACGAACATTTCACAGTTTCAATGATATTGCATAATCAGTTTCAAATAATTGGCAGCTTTGGATAACAATGAATCCTAATCTAAACCAGCTTTAGCTTTAGATAATGATACTGCATACCTTCTCTCAATCTTGTGCCTGCTGATAATGCTTGAGAAACTAACTCTTGGTACATTTCATCTAGTCAACAACAAAAATATATACACACAAACACATATTCCTTCTCCAGAAGAAATGAAAATCTTACCACACTGGCTAAAAGTGTGCCAGATCTTGAAGTGCCTACAAAATCACCGGGATTCCTTTCAATTGTCTGCAGAAAACCATCAACTTTTTATTTTAGGTTAATTTGGGGATAGATTATTAAATTTTAATCTCAATTTATAAGTACTTTAGAGATAAAGTTAATACCGGTCGAAGAATTTGATGAGATATGGAGCTTGTTTAATTCATGGCAGTTTCTTCGGTTGATCAGATATGACTTGAAATGGAGCTTGAAATGGAGCTTGAAATGCAGATATGGAGCTTGTTAAATTCATGGCAATCCCTTCTGTACCTGCACATTTTGATATAAGTTGCTGCAACCGACTTCTCTGTGTCAGTCTCCTCAGTAAGTCAAGTCTCTCAACAATAGTCCCTTTCTGTTTGAGGTGCATAGATTCTCAACCATAAATATGAAGGGTCCAATGAATTGAGATAGTCTTTTTAACGAAGGGTCCAATGAATCGAGATAGTCAATTTTTACTCACCCCTTTATGAAGCCATGAATATGCTTCAAGACCCACCTGCAGAATTTGCAAAGTGAGTAAGATTGAAAAATTGAACACAACACCGATGAAATTTTGAGGAAAATGAAAACTTTGAATGAAACGGGACAAATTTATGATTCATAAGTCCAAACTACAAATCAATAAGATGGGAAGTTTGCCTAGCTATTTTGATGGTAAAAAATTTGAACGAGGAAGGGTATCACCAAGATTTTCTTCTAGCCTCTCTTCAATTCCATTTGCAATGTATTAAGAATTGAGGAAGGGTATCACCAAGATTTTCTTCTAGCCTCTCTTCAATTCCATTTCCCCTGTTTAGCCAATTTCCAAACACCGGTGAAGTATAATATATATTAATTTAATAAAATAATGTCCAAACAATCAGAAAAGAAAAATTGGGAATTCACTGAGTCAATTAAACAAACACTTGGAATTCAACGGAGAAGCTTTGAACTATAAGAAGTAGATTAGGAGAAAATACACAAATTACACTGAAAAATTATGAAATACATGCATAAACTTAGAGATTAAAAAAGAGTTAATTTCATCTCAAATTAAATTGTTTATCTCACTGATTTTAGTTTTAGAAAAAAGAGATAGAGAGAGAGTGGGGGTTTAAAGGAAGAAAAGAATTACCATAAAGTGATCAAGCTCCTTACGATCCATATTTCCGATTCCAATGGAAGAGTATTTGTGAAGAACGCATTGCAATTGTTGAAGTTGAGCATCGATTCTCGGAAGCTGGTTCACCGTCGTCGCAATTCGGAGACGGTCGCTAGTCGGAGACGATCGCAATTCGGAGACGCTATCTTCATCTTCTTCTTCCTCTGTGAATCGCGGGAACGCTATTTCCTGCTGAAGATAGTCGTGAAAAGCCATGAATAATCAATTTTTTTCTTTCTCACTGCATTTGAATGGTTTTTTAAAGTGATATCCAAACACGCTTAGTTTATTGAAAGCTGATGCAGTTAGAAATAAGAATGGAGAGTGAAATGAAATGAAGAGAGGTTTGGAAAAGGACTTTTAAGGAAATGGCTTTTGGAAGAGTTTACGCTTAGATTGAGAAATAGAAGAGGATTCGAAAAATGGACGAATACATGAATCAGGAGTTGGAATGTGAAACGGTATAAACAACAAAGGATATGTGGGGAAGAGGAAAGATAGGTAACAGTTGATATTTTCCATGGACATTGAACACATAATTTCACGTCACCCAAAACTAACATATTTTGTAGATAATTTTTTATTTAATTTAAAACAATGGATATAATTAAAGTAATTAAAACTTTCTTTTTATTGAAACAATTAAATATAACAGGAGGGTTGAGAGTTTGCCATATATCCAACTTGTTCAAATACTTATCTTGTATTATTATATTTTATAGATTTTTGTAAAATCTAAAAAGAAAATATTGATTTCTTTTTAAAAATAAAATATGATTTATCTGTGATTTAAATTCTCAGTTTTTTAATGTTCGAGGTGAAAACTCCGCCATAAAATATCTAATTTATAATAGTTTCAATCCTTTCAAGAATATTATATTTTTAAGAGTTAAAAGAATATAATCAGTTACTTAAATTTTTTCTCACGAGCAAAACTTCATTTACAAACACTAAGATAAAATATAAAATGAAAAAATATTTTCCGAAAAGAAAGAAAGAGAAATTTTAAAAAAAATATAAAAGGTTGAAAAGTTATGTGTAATAAAATGGAGGCGAAACTTTTTTATATAGAAGTTGAAAAATCAAAAATGTTCTGGACTGGGTCCACCTTGGCCCAAAGTGCGAATAAAAGCCCAGGTCCAAGCAGCTCCTCGGGAAATGCTCACAATAGGACAATCATCGAACGTGCCCGACCACAGACTACAGATGCAATGCCCTCCGTTGCCCTCGACGATCAGCGTCCCCGACCAAGGAGACTCCAGCTCGAGTCCAGCCCGAGCACCCTCCTCGTAAGGCAGATTTTGTCCTTTTTAACCGTTATGGAATCCTCAAGGCTCTGGAAAGACTGCGTCTACGTTCTTCCTCATTCTTCGCAGAGCACCATCCAGGAAGGGGACCACGTGCAGGTCCCCACTACACACGTAGAACCTGGCAGTCCCTTTATTGGGCCAGTTCTGGCTGGTCCAATGAGGGGACCTTAGCCCAGCGCTGGGGGCTATAAATACCCTCTACTTCAAGAGGGTCAAGTATTCATTCATTACGCACCTACGTATTTTTTCCTGCTCATTCCGTATCTCATTTTATCATCGGAGTGTCTTGCAGGTACCCCCCTCCCCCATTTCATCCAAATTCAGTTTGAGCCAACTGTGACGGTCCAAGTCTGATCCGGTAAGATCAGTGGTGTCGTCTGTGGGAAACTAAGCTTCCCCGTCTTGCAAACCCTCGAAGACCAAAGCTAAAAACCATCTCCCACCGTCATGGTTGACCAAATTCGGGACGACCAGAACATCCGCGTCGTCGACGCCAACAACAACCTCGCGGATAAGAACGGAGTCCCCGACAACACAGGCAACCTCGATCATAACATACTCCCCGAGGGCGCCATCCACGGGCCCTCAGGCCACCGGAATGGAGCCACGGCCTCATCTTCTTCGGTCCCCCCTCTACTCGAAGAAGACAATACAGCTCCCCCAAACCATCTAGTCGCCCAATTCCAGGAGGTCTCGGTCCCCACCGGGGCAGACGCCACGACCAGAGCACTGTTCGCGACAATCAACCAGACCAATTACCTCATCTTTGCCCAGGGGGAAAGATTGAGGGAGCTAGAGGACGACAGAAGACCCCCGAGGAGACACAGGAGGCCTCAAACCCCGCCTTCTCAAAGAACAGAGGTGCATCTCCCGTCTCCCCCGCGGAGACAATACAGAGACACCTCTTGAAGCCCGTCACCTCGATAACCGGGGAGACGACTCCTCTTGGAGAGGGAACCAATCATCGAAGCTGGAGGGCGCAACCACGACCCTTTACAGGAAGAACGAGGACACCCTAGAGACAGGCACGAAAGGACATATCAACGAGCGCACCGCTCGAGGGACGTCCAACACCACCACGGTCGCCGTGCCCGACAATACCTCAGGTCCCCGTCCCTTTCCCCAGAGCGAAGGGACGAGGACGACCCCTGCGGTCCCCTGTCACAAGCCATCATGGAGGCACCTATTCCCCCGGGCATGGAGAAGCCCCCTCACCTGAAGGAATACGATGGAGTCGTCGACCCAGTCAATCATATAGACAGGTTCGAAGCTATGCTGCACTACCATAACATTGGGGGACCCATCAAATGCCGGTTATTCCCCACGACCCTCAGGAAAGTGGAAATGGATTGGTACAAGGGTCTTGCCCCGGGGTCAATCACCTCATGGTGAAACTTGAAAAACCAATTCGTAAGCTCGTTCACCGCGTCACGGCGACATCCGAAGACCGAAGCGGCGCTCGAGGCTATCGTCCAGAGACAAGATGAAACCTTGAGAGAGTTCATCAACCGCTTCAACCGTGAAGCCATCCAGGTCCCCTGCGTAGACCATATAAAAAGATACTTGCTGGAGAGGGGACTCCTCCCTGACACCGAGTTCAGAAAAGCAGTAGGCATCGAACCACCCCGAACGTTCGATGCTCTCCTCGAGAAGGCCAGGGCCTACATGGACTACGAGGAAAGGGAGGCGGCCAACAGAGCCTGTGACCCCAGAACCCGCGGATCTAGCAGCAACCCGCGCCAAGAAGTCTTTCCTCCTTGACGGACCGGGGAGAAAAGAAAAGACGACTGTGATACGGTGGGAGAACTGACTTGGATTTTTGCGTTTGTTTTCGCACTTGTTTCGGTTTAGCAAGAGTCGCCACCAACTTTTTATTTTATCCTAAGGAAAGGTCAAAAAGCACAGGAAAGACCTTTGAGATGTTTTCTTGGGTTCGGGGAGTAGATTATAGAAAGGGAAGGTATTAGCACCCTTTCTATCCATGGTTATCCATGGGTTCTTAGTTACTTGCTTAGATCACTTGCCTTTGCTTTTCAATTGTTTGAAATGGTGCTTTGTGTGTGTGGTTTTGAAAATGTTTTGAAAAAGATGCCTTGTCTATGCAACCTTTGTAACAATTCTTGTTTGAATGTTTTACAAAGGTGTTTGTCTTTTTGAAAAGATGTTTTAATGTTTTTGAAAGTTTGTTTTGAAATTGTGTTGATATGTGTGTTTGAAAGTAGCAAGGATGTTTTGCAAGCTTTTGATCAAGTAACTAAGAGTTGTCTACCCTATTTTACTCAAAGATCTTTCTTATGTTTTTAAGCCTTTTAGCAGTGTTGCTTCACCATTGTGTTTGGTGAACAACCTTGCGTTAGGATGTTAAACGGGACAGGTGCGGGTCATCGTATAGACCATGATAGCAATAACGTCAAGTATCTTTGGCAATTTTTCCTTAAGGGACTTGATCATTTTGTTTAGGCAACTCCGATAGCGTCATCGAGGGACTATGATCATTTTGATTGTTCTTGTTTTGTCAAAGTACTTGACATGCATAACATTTGTTTAGGCAACCAAGTGGAGATACCCTAAGGGGTGTTTGTGTGCAAGTGTGCATGATTTTATCTTGAATTAATGATTGTCTACTTGTTGATTTTATCTTGCCATACATATCCTATTTACTAGCAAGCATATAAAAGTAATAAAGCGCATCAAGATAAAATCCTACACTATTACAACCATATTGAATTGCACGAGAATATAAAGGCAAAAATAAAATAAAAGCAAGAAAAATGAGGGTCTTTCGATTGAGGCAGAAAACCCTTCGATTCTGCACTTTCTGGCTCTCTTCGATTTGGCCTGAAAAAGGTGAAGGCATGACTTTCGACTGAGGCCTCACGGTCAGCCTGTTGTGCCTTTCGATTGGGACCAGTGGGATAGCATGTTGTACCTTTCGACTGGGTCTGGAATCAGTATAAGATGCAATCTTTCCGCCTCCTTCGACTGGGGGTTGGAGTCAGTGGAGTCATCTTTTGTTTGAGGCATGGAAACGGAAAGGTTATGGATTTCGTTTGAGGTCTGGAAACAAAAAGGTTCTGGCTTTTCCACAGGCTCCTTACTGACTCCTTGTAAGCATGTTAGGTCCTCAAATTGTGATTCGAAAGGCTTGTGCAGCTAGCCAATCGAAGGGTATAACAAACATGTCTCAAGTTCTTAAAATGCAACATCCAAACATAACTACAGTCCAGGGGTTAGCACAAAAACAAAACAATGGGTCTCAAAGTCCAAAGTATAACTAATTAAGGTTGAGTTTTCAGCATATGGGCAGTTAGGATCGAATGTTAAAACATGGTCAAGAAATATCTACATTTTTCTTTATTGGTATGTGCACATGATGTTTAAATGAAAGAGTTCCAAGTTTAGAGAGAACTTACCTCTTGAAATGCTTAGTCGAAAGAGCTGTAGGTGACCTTTTTTGATGGTGGAGGGAGCCTCGCTGGGATCTTCCTGAAGCTAGTTTTGTTACTGTTTGGTTTAGGCAATCACTGAATCGAAGAGAGTATATGATGGTGATACGTGAATCGAAGGTTGCTTCAGTCTAGGGGAAGTAAATCGAAAGGTACACCACTGAGACTTTTTATGGAAAAAAATCTTAGAGTTTTGAAGATTTGAGAACGTTGGAGAGTTTGAGAATATGGGAGAGTTTTAGTGCTTGAGGATTTTTTATGATTTTTCTCTCTTAGCAAAAATCTGGACCCTTTCTTTGTCAATGGTTCCTCTATTTATAGAGAAAAGGTTTGGGAGTTAAAACAAAGATGTGGCTTGGCTGAAACGTGAATATTAAGTCATGTCAAATTTTCCAAGGTCCCAAGGTGAAGTACTGAAGTTGTTGGTTAAAAGGGACTGACTTCCCTGACTTATGGTGAAGTACAAGCATGATTTTAGCAAAGCATGGGCTTTGGCACAGGATTTGTACTTAACAAGTTCACTTTTATGCGAAAAACTTCTGGTCAAAGGCTTAATCACCTGGACAATAGCTTAATTCAAAAAGTAAGCAATTAATTATGGAGTGAGATACAAGCATTAAGTCTTGTAAAGTAAGATCACGTAGCAGGGTCCACAGATTTGATCAGTTGTCCTTTCAAGATCCTATTTCCCACTTGTGTCGAAGAGTTCTAGAAATGTACTAAAGAAAACCGCGTCGAAGGATTTAGAGTTGGGTTTGAGAGATGGTGATTCGAAGGAAACCAAAACTCCAATCGAAGCCTTTGTGTGAAGGTGGCTCATGTCTAATCGAAAGCATGCACGCCAGAGGGTACATATGGTCAAACGAAAGACAAAATGTTCATATTCGAAAGAGACAAATAGGGAGCAAAAGGTGCAAATCGAAGGATGTTAAAAGAGAGCCTTTTGCCTTGGAAATGAAATAGATTACAAGAGGCTCTTTTCCTTGTGAATCCAAACCAAACTGTGTCAGAGGCCCATGCCCATTCGAAGGATGCAAGCCAAACTTGTGTCGAAAGAAGCCAAAAGGCCAATCGAAAGAGCTGAAACGAAGAACACTTATATTTCTCCAATTTTTGTCAAAATAATATTTTTATCTGTTTTCTCCCTTTTTGACAGTTTCCTTTTAATTTTGGTACTGGAAAATTCCAAAGTACTTGTGCAAGCTTGAACCTTGCGAATCCTTGTGAGAAAGGCCTTGGAGAATGAGAGGGAAAATTTTGGGGTACAACAATGACAAACCCCGAGAAGTCCGAGAATAGAGAGGACCCTCGGGGCGTTTCACAGAGTACACTCCGCTCAGGGCTTTCCGCGAGCGCATCTTAGCGAAGTGTGCTAATATAGACTTCAAGGATGGTGGCGTCAAGCACCCCCGACCAACTCCTGCCAAGCTCAGGGTGGACAGGAGCAAATACTGCCAGTACCATAGGAGCCATGGTCATCTGACGGAGGACTGCATTCACCTCAAGGACGCCATCGAAACCCTCATAGGAGCCATGGTCTCTGTATTGTCTCCGCGGGGGAGACGGGAGATGTACCTCTGTTACTCGAGGAGGTGGAGTCTGGGGCCTCTTGTGTCTCCTCACGGGTCTTCGATCGTCTTCTAGTGCTCTCAATCTTTCTCCCTGGGCGAAGATGAGGTAATTCGTCTGATTGATCACCGCAAATAGTGTGCGGGTTGTGGCATCTGCCCCGACGGGGACAGGGACTTCCTAAAATTGGGCAGCTCGATGGCTTGTGGGAGTTGCGTTGTCTTCTTCGAGCGGTGGAGGGACTGAAGAAGATGAGGCAGTAACTCCGTCGTGGTGGACTGAGGGCCCGGGGTTGGTTCCCCCGGGGAGTGTGTTATGATCGGGGTTGTCGGTGTTGTCGGGGAGTCCATTTTTATCTATGAGGCCGTTGTTGGTGTCGACGACGCGGATGTTTTGGTCATCCCGAACTTGGTCAGCCATGACGGTAGGAAGTGATATTGAGCTTTGGCCTTCGAGGTTTTGCAAGACGGGGAAGCTAGTTTCCCACAGACGGCGCCACTGATCTTACCTGATCAGACTTAGACCGTCACGACTGGCTCCGAGCAGAAGTTGAGTGAGATGGAAGGGGGTACCTGTAAGGCACTCCGATGCTAAAATGAGTGACGGAATGAGCAGGCAAAAAAGCGTATGTATAGGTAAGAGATGAATACCTGACCCTCTAGGAACTAAAGGTATTTATAACCCCCAGCACAGGACCAATGTCCCCTCATTGGGCCGACCAGAACTGACCCAATAAAGGAGCTGCCAGGTTCTACGTGTGTAGTGGGGACCCGCACGTGGTCTCCTTTCTGGTGATGCTCTGCGAGAAATGAGAAGGGACGAAGACGCGGTCTTTCCGGAGTTCAGGTGATTTGGTAACGGTTAGAATCTGCCCTACGAGGAGGGTGCTCGAGCTGGGCTCGAGCTGGAGTTCTCGTGGTCGGGGACACCATGTTCGCGGGCAACGGCGGGAACGGCTGCAGTCTGTGGTCGAGCGCGCGCTCCTCGAAGAGTTGCTTGGATTGGATCTTCGTTCTTGCTTTTGGGCCAGGGCGGGCCCAGTCCAGAACAGTCTTCCTATCAAAGGTTGAGGCTTCTGACCTCTGACCACCGTTAGTTTTCTTTTTGGCTTCTGACCAAGTCTGCTTCTGATACTTTTTATTAGAAGTTGCTTTCAGAGCCTGTTGCTCTACTTCCCTCTCAGATGTTCTCTCAGTCATATGCAACTCATGCGCCTCTAGACTACTTTACAGCTCTTCAACTCTCATGGTACTCAGATCTTTAGAATATTCAATTGCTACGATGATGTAATCAAATTAAGAAGTTAAAGTTTTAATATCTTCTCTCTGATTACTTGTTCAGAAAAGGTTTCTCCACAAGCTTTCATCTCATTAGTGATCAGAATCACTTTAGAGATGTACTCAGAAATTTTTCGTTGTCCTTCATGTTGAGACTCTCATATTGCTTTTTTAATAACTAAAGCTTCACCTTCTTCAGTGATGTGTCACCACCGTAACATTCGACCAGTATATCCTACATATCCTTTGTTGTTACAGAGCCAACAATCTTTTCAAACACATTTGCATCCATACACTGATGGGTGTAGAACAATGATTTCTGATCTTTCTTTCTTATTTTCTTCTCTGTTGTCTTCTGTGCTTCTGTCGCGTCTGCTGTTAATAAAACATAGCCATCAGTGACAAGATCTAACACATCTTGAGAACTGAACAACACACACATGTGGTTCTTCTAACAATTCCAGTTTTTACTATCAAACACTGAAAGCTTGGAACTGATATCGCTGTTTTCGTTCATCTTCAACCTTGTGCAGTTCACTCAAAACTCACTAACACACATTGTTTCTCAAATTTACAGAATCAGAAAAATGTGATTCTCAATCACACAACATCCCATTGTTCATTCGTGTTTCACGTGTTTCTCCGTGGATTTCGAACCGAAACTCCATAGATTTCAAATCGAAACTCTAGATATCAATTGTTGGTGCACCAGAAAGAGAGAGAGATGAAAGACAAAAGAAATATATTAAATGACGGTTATAAAATAAAGAATAATAAATTATATTGACCTAACTACTACTAAATTATTTACATACAAATATTATGGTATAATAAAATACTGAAATACCCTCTAACAAATTTAATCAATAAAATATTCATAAAATATAAATTATTTTTAACACTATTACATAAATTGATTTGAATTGATAAAGTAGACAATATTGATTTGAAAGAAGTATAATATAATAATAAGAAAAAAAATACAATATGAAACAGGAACATTTAATTAAGAAAGTGATGAGAGCATGGAAACAATTTAAAAAGAATTAGATGCAGCATGAAACAAATAATTGTTTTAGACATAGAACAAAAACAAAGATAGCCTTAAAAGGCATCCACATGGTTGGCTCTGAAAACAGCAGGGTAGTTTGGGTATTTCAAGAACTTTTATTTTCTTATGATATATACTTCACTCAAACAAATAAACATGACTTGATGATCTCCCTCTATTGTCATAATAAAATATATTTCCACTCTATTATCTTTATAAAATATAAATACTACTAATTATATTTATTCACAAAATAAATAATTATAATAACAAGGATTTTAATTATATAATTTCAATATTATTTAATAGAAATTATTTTTAAGTAGAGAAAAAACAATAATTTTGTTCAAAAGATGTTTATTTATTTAAAGTAAAATAGTACAACTTAAACGACATAGAAAATCCCATGTACAAGTAGGAACTTTCACATCATCATTTAAAAAAAAAAACAAATGATCCAAAGACAACGACTCAAAAAGAAAACAGATTAACAACCTTCTTTTATTCATTACGATCGTACATTACTACTCAACGGTAAGTACCGCCAGTTCCAGTGGTGTGGTGATGACCCTGCCCCAAGGTGTTCCCAGCCGTTGCCGCAGCGTTGTGCTCACGCGCCGCCTGCTTATCAAGCTCAGCCTGGGCAACCCTCTCATCTTTCTTCTCTGTTGCCAACTCCTTTTCCAAAGGATCACGTGTCGTCAGCCTCTCAGCCTTCTCTTGAACGTTAGCTTTGGTTTTCTCCAAACCAGATTTGGCTGAAGCTCCAACGTTAGCAGCTGTTTCTTTAGCAGACTCTCCGGCTTTCTTTCCTCCACCCTGCATTTTGAGAATTTGGCTTCTTCAACTATCAACTTAGGATATATATGTTGATGATGTTGAAGAGCATTATGCATTTTATCCATTATATAGATTTAGGTACCACTTTGTTTTGTGTACACGCGTTAGATTATAGAAAACGTGGCGAGTTCGTGAAGATCTTTTTACACCTGTTTGCAAGGTGTCTTGTAAGATATACTTGTAAAAAAAAATCATGTGGTATCAAAAAGATGACGGTTAGTGAAAAATAAATTGCTAAAATATGAACTTCAATTTTAAAATAGGTCAATATTGCACAATCTGCATATATATATATATATATATATATATGTTAATGGTTAAAAGTTTTTTTTTTTAACAAATATAAAGTGTACATGTGAGACAAATGGAAACTAAGAATATCAACTTTATTTATTATAAAAAATTTAAGCGGTTCAACAATATTGAAGACTAAAAATAATGAGATAAATTAATGTAAAAAAAAATAATGACGGTGATAGATCAGGGTTAAGTTCTACACTCATTAAAAGTTTGTTCTACCAGTAGTTAATATCTCTTCATTTGTTATCATCCGATTGGAAGAAGAGTTTCAAAACCAATTCTCAGGTATTCGAAAAGAAGGAAAACTTGTATAGTCTCAAATTTAGAGAAAATTGAAACAAATTTATCATATAAGAAAATTTAAGACCCTGAAAAAGATTTGATTAATTTTTCTTCTTTATACGCTACATCTTTTTTTATAGGTAAATTATATCTAATGTAACTATTTGTTTACGAATTGCGTATTCTGATTTCAAAGCAACCGTATTTCTCTATTTTTTGTTTGCAGATGACTGCACATTTTCCTCTTTAATGATACATATTTCAAAATTATGCATTTTTCAATAAAACAATGTCAAATTGCTCTGCCTTCTTATTGCACGACTCCTTCCATTTCTATTCCATATGTGATCATATCTCTCCTCTCATATATCTCTTCTTATCTCTGTGGTCATCTTCATCTCCTTCTCCTCCAACCTACTTCAAATCCATTCTACCAACCTTCATCTCCTTCATCTCTCCAAACTATTGCCAAACTTCTCATGGTGAACGATTTCATGGTAGATTCTCGCGGCGACGGAACGAAAAGGATTTTAGATTTACGATTTGATTCGATTATAATTTTATTTTCTATATGTTTTACTTTTCAAATTTTTTCTTTTCTTTACGATTCTTTATTTTGGAATAAATTTTGTGGGTCTTCTGTGTAGATTTTTTTCGATCTAGAAATTAGAGAGGAACAAAGATTCACGCATGTGATAATTATAGTATGATACAAAATAAGAGCATAAGAGCTATATGAACAAGGATCTGATAAAATTTCATCAATGAATAAAGGGTCAGAAGAATAGATTTTAGAGGATAATTTTTTCGCGGTAACGAGAATATAAAGGATATAAGATTTAAGATTCTTTGTTTTTAAATAGATTTTGTGGGTCTGTAGCGTAGATTTTCTCAGATTAGGAAATTAGAGAGGAACACCAATAATTTTTTCTTTATCAGATACTTGAGAGGATGAAGTTTATGTATACTAGTCTTAACTCTCTCACTTTTGGACTTCATGTGCATTTACGTTTACGTCATATTTTCATAAATCGTGGCACTTAATTGTTTTTACATAATTTTATGTATTATTACAACAAACGTATATGAGAGACTTTAAACAGAATAATATACTGGAAAATGCAATCTGCAAACAAAAATATGTGATTTTGGACTTGTACGAGTTGCATTCAATGATACTCCACCAATAAATTTTTGGATAGTAATATAGTCTATTCAAATTGTATTTCTAATAGAGCATGTGAAAGATATGACTTTGTAGGTATGAAGTTGAGGTTTTCAAGCTTCTTTATGAGACATTGTGTGAAATTTAAAGACATCAAACTTTAGATTACGAATATCTAATATATGGTATGGTGTCAAAGTTCTTTCCTCCTCATGGGTTTTGATCTTTTATTTCAGGCTCGATGATGTAATTCAATTTCTGGAGCATGTTTTGAGTATGAGGGAAGAAAATCTTGGTACAACAAATCCCCACGTGGATATGCAGCATAAATTTCTGACCAGATTCATGATTTTGTCTGTAAAAAAAGTGATACATTATTTGTCTCTTAACCGTTAAAATAACAGTTTATGATAAGTTTTTGATTAACTTTATGCATATATTATGTGTTCAGGTTGTTATATTTAGAAGTGTTAATTGGTGCTTTTTGACTTCATAATATCTTAAAACTAATCATATTGCATGAAGGTTTATGGTTTAAGTTACAAAGCAAGTTTTGTTAGATCTTGAAGCAAGTTAATATCCAGTAAAGTTTTCAGTTATCTCAGTTGCAATCTTGAAGATACATATAGCTCCTACTTCCATTAACTCTCAAGGTATAGTTTTTTTAAATTTATATTCATTGTTGAGTGCTTAAATTCAAATATATTTTACACTACGATGTCATCATCAAGTGTTGTAAATGTTGGACAATATATATGGGGTTCTTATCTCAAGATATCAGAAACGAAGATCTCATATATCAGAAAAAAAAGAATTCATGATCAGAAGTTAAGATGTAGTTGACATGAGCTGTTGCTTCCAACTCAATCCAAAAATCAGAATTCAAGATTAAAAACTAAGATATAGTTGACATAAGTTGTTGCTTTCTGCTTAATTCAAAGATAAAAATTCAAGAGATCAGAAAGAAAGAATTGAACATCAAAATCAAACGTACTGATATAAGCTTTTGTTTCAGAAACCAGACATCATAAAAGCTATCATCAGAAATCAAAGATCAGATCAAGATGAATTAACTAGAAAATCAAATATGCTGATATAAGCTTATATTTTAAAAATCATACATCAAATATGCAGCTCAGAAAAGCTGATTATTAGAAATCAAGATCAGATCAAGACATAGTGGATCAGAAAAGCTTTCATCCACCAAAAAAGAAGTTGTTCCTCAGATTAGTTGTTGCTTGTATATTTGAAGACAATATTCAAATATCTGAAAGGCTCTGACCTTACAACAAAGAAGCATCTTTTGGATCAATATCATTCTTCAATCAAAATCAATCCAACAAGAAGAAAAGAATCAAAGCTCGGAATTTAAAGACTTGAGAATCAGAAAGCCTGTTGCCACAATATCTAACTTCAAGATCCAAAAATTAGAAAAGCTTTCGCCTACAACGACAAGACTTGTTTCTCAGATAAGTTGTTGCTTATATATATCTGAAGACAAGAATCCACTAATGAAAAATTCTGAAATAAAACATCTTCTCACTTAATATTCATCTCTCAGATCAGATAAGAAATACACCTTCAAGACTAATTCTAAGATCAGAAGTCAAGCTTAGTGTTTCATAAAATATGTTGCTATTATTTCTGAAGACAAGTCATGGTTCTGACAACTTTGATATTCCTATGCTACAACAACAAATTAGTTTCTGAACTACTCATCAGTTATTCATAAAAACAACGAAGACAAAGTAATTGATCTCTTCCAAGCTTAATACTTCAGAATCATAAGTACATCATCAGAAGATAAAGATCAAGAAACTTTGTCAAATAGAATACAATAGAAACAGTACACCACAAATTCCACTATCATGGTATTGGTTGTACTAATCATAAAAGTTGTCCTCCCATGTTCTTATGCTAACAACTACAAGCAGCATGCTAAGAAAAGTGACGTTTCGTACTATTTCAAACCTCTCTTGAATCTATCAGTTGGGAATCAACCGTTGGAAGAATAAATTACCTTTCTACCCTTACAACGACTCTTTTTGAAGGATATATAAGAAGGTCAATGAACTAATTGCAATTTGACGAAGTTGACGATATTGACGATGATGAAGTCCATAAACACAAAGAATGAGAGATAAAATGAAGATATGAAAAGAAAGAATAATAAGAAGATGAAGATGAAGAAGACTACAAGATGCTGCACTCAAAATTAGATTTATATCATCTTTGTAGAATTATGTAAAAGCAAGGAGTTATTGCTCATATCTTGCTAAACCCTTTTGTGTTTTATCATGTACTTAAACTAGGAGTAATTTTCTTGTTAAGAAGCATTCTTGTAATCTCCAGAAACAATTATTTCTAGAATTAGTGTTGCCTCAAATGATCGAATGAAAATATATATACTTGGGAAGACTTTGAAAACTGGTCATTGTAGTTGAAATCCTTTCTAAGGAACCGGGTAGATCAGAATCCTTAGGGGTCACTGATCGTTATATCTCTTAGGGGACCGGGTAGGTCAGAATTCTTAAGGGATCATTAATTGTATGATCATTGTTGTTGTTAGTCACCAGCGGGTAGCCCGTGCATTTGTAATCAGTGAGATTAGTGGATTAAGTCTTTGTCTAAGGCAAAATCATCCAAGGAGGGTGGACAAGATGTGGCCTTGTTGAAGGTGAACTTGGATAAACTAAATGTGTCTCTTTATATTTCTAGCATTCTATATTATTTCATAGTTTTATCAAATAGTTTTTAAAAAGGGAAAAGTTTTGAAAACCCAATTTAAACCCCCTCTTTCTTGTGCTTTTCTCTACCTTCAAGGCATGTATATTTAAATTGGTAGGGCACATGTATATTTAAATTGTAAAAAACCCGATGTGTTCTTTTGAATTAAATGAACCTATTTATAATATGACTTAATTTGGTATAACACATGTAAATTTGTTTTGAATTTGAATTTCATAGACGCTAAAGTATGCGTCTTTCTTGTCTTTCACTAAGTGCTTCTCTATGTTCCCGAGAAGAAAGTATGGTATCACATGTTGAGAGATGATTTGTCGTGTTGTCTGCTCCTTCTGTTTCGTGTAATGTTAATTCGGTTATGAAAGGAGGAAAATACGATGCATTTGGGGCTGTTACACTTAAGAAATCGAAAGTTGAGTTGTCGCAACAACAGAGTAATAAGTCTGAAACCTGAGGTTTGTGCTATAGAATTAAGGTTTTTAAGAAATCGAAA